TTAAGTACTGAAATTATTAAATAATCATTAATAAAATAACATAAAAAATAATTTTGTTAATGATATTTTAATAAATTCATAGTTTAAATTGCACTTTTAATGTGCGATATAACCTATAAAATACTTTTTTGTTTATATACATGAGATTGATATCTTTTTAGTTCATATTAATAAACTTTTTTATAGTTAAGGCTATAAAAAAACAAAGTTACCCTCAATGATCATGTTGGTGCTCTTAAGAGACATTTTTTTTATTTATATATTCAAAATATAATGGGTTTCTAGGATAAATTGTATTTAAAACATTATTTTAGAGTTAGAAAAGACAGAAAACATTACCCTTAATAAATTAATCACGATATATTTTTAATTTATTAAGAATATTTTTGTCTTTTCAAATTTATTTTACATGCAGAGTAGACGAAGATATTTTAATGGGAAAGATCAAATTTATTAGAAAGAGAAGATGGATTCTCATCACATTGTTTTTGATCGGTCAAATATCGTCTAATATATCCATTTTAATTTCTTAATATGTTTAGCATTGACTTGAGTCATGACGTGTGAACTTGCCTTAAACTTCAAGGTAGAGCTCGATTATAAATAGTGGAGAACCTTTAGAGCTCAATTCAAGCCAGATTCTCTTCTCTACTCCATCTTTTTTTAACTACTCTGCATCTTGTTAAATTAGCCTATGGCTTCCAATAAGTTTAAGTTTTTATTTGGGTTGATTTCCCTTATTATAGCTACTTCCTCTGCTCAGTTGTCCTCGAACTTCTACGCGACAACATGCCCCAATGCACTTTCCACCATTAAATCAGCAGTGTCATCCGCAGTCAAGAAAGAGGCTCGCATGGGAGCTTCCTTGCTTCGTCTTCACTTCCATGACTGCTTTGTGAATGCAAGTCACCTCTTCTTCTCTACCCTTGTTCATTTGCTAAAACCTTTATTTCTACCTTACAGTAAATTTATTTGCAATCAAATCACATGCGTCTATTTTTGTATATTTGTACATTTTGCAATTGCGCATATATCGGTGACTGTACGAGTAAATGTTAGTGTGTTTATGGTATATATTGTTCTAATTTGAAAATTTAAACTAAGATACTTTTGTGATTGTGTATGTAAACGTGGAGATTTGACCAAAAGACTTTTTACCTGTTACTGTGTAACATGTTGTTAACTATAGATCCAATGATTAATTGTTAACAAAATATATTTCTTTTCTTTTTTCTGTATATCATGATATGACCTCTTTATAGGATTCCTCATCTTTATTTGGACTGAAAATGCTATATCACCGACAAAATAATGCTAGGTAGGACCTGTGTTACTGTTTTAATCCACATGCAGATTTTTTTTTTTTTTCTGCAGGGTACCAATAATATATGTAATGTATGATTTTTGTTTTCTTAATACGTTAAGAGTATGAATTGAATTTTATATTTGTAGTTAAAAATATATATAATTTTGCCATCAAAGTACATTATTAACAGTAATATATGTACTTTTTATATTATGTGAGAGTAACATAATCTTACCATGCAACAGGGATGTGATGCATCCATCCTCTTGGATGACACTGCAAATTTCACCGGAGAAAAGAACGCCGGGCCAAATGCCAATTCAGTGAGGGGATATGAAGTAATAGACACCATTAAATCCCAATTAGAGAATCTATGCCCTGGTGTCGTCTCCTGTGCTGATATAGTAGCAGTCGCTGCTCGTGACTCCACTGTTGCTGTAAGAAAGAAACAACAATAAATAATTCTAAGAGTTTCCTGTCTGCAGTTGGAACAGTTAAACAAAAAATGATGGATGACGAGAGCAAACTCTTAATATTAAAAAGTCTATTTTATTTAATAATTTATGTTGTATAATTTAAACTATACACTATTCTTTGCTACTCATTCTTTTTTACTTGAGTAGCAACAGTTAGATGAGGAGGGCAAATTCCAATATCATGAGCTTATTTTCATTTAATAATTTATATTATGTAATTTGGATTACATAATATTTTTTATATAATAATCCTAATTGATTGCTAAATTCGCTTTTAAAGTAGTACATTGTTTTGGTACTTCAATTATTGATCTTTTGATTTCTGCTTTATCAGCTTGGTGGGCCAAGTTGGACTCTTCTTTTGGGAAGAAGAGATTCAACCACAGCAAGCCAAACTGCTGCTAATTCCAACCTCCCCTCCCCACTCTCAAGTCTTAGTGCCCTTATCACTGCCTTCTCCAATAAAGGTTTCACTGCTAAAGAAATGGTAGCTCTTTCAGGTAAGCTCCCTTTAAACTCGTTATTATAGAAATTTAAATCTTGGACCTTCAAGTTTCTTAGTGTGTACTAGTTTGGCTAAGTATACAACTATACGGGATTAACAATTAAACTTATCCATGAATTTTAGGATCACATACAATTGGACAGGCTCGGTGCACGACCTTCCGAACCCGTATCTACAACGACACCAACATTGATTCCACCTTTGCAACATCACTACGGGGAAATTGTCCGAGCACAGGGGGAGACAACAACCTTGCTCCTCTTGACACAACAAGTCCAACATCATTTGACAATGCATACTTTAAGAATTTGTTGAACAAGAAGGGACTTTTGCATTCCGACCAGGAGCTCTTCAATGGAGGTTCCACAGACTCTCAAGTTACCGCATACAGCAACAACGCCGGAGCTTTCAGCACAGACTTTGCGAATGCGATGGTAAAGATGGGGAATCTGAGTCCACTCACGGGCTCAAATGGCCAAATCAGGAAGAATTGTAGGAAGGTCAATTGAGTTTGGATGGCACAGAGGCTTGGAATTGTCCTCTTTTGTTTAGGAATAAAGTGGTTGGGTTGTGTTTTTTTTTTTTTTGTGTAATTTTCTTAGCTTAAAGCCTTAAACTGTAACTGGTAAGCCCTGAGCATGGTGGATGTTTCCTTTTGGAGAAGAAATATATTGCTAGTCATTTTCTGTACAAGAATGATTAATTTCGCAGAATCTTGTGTTTGAAGAATTTTTTTTTTATCTCTTCGGATTTTTCTTTCCACGAATCAGAGAAAATAATGACAAATTTAAGTTGGGAAATAACGGATCTTGGATTGTGGCCATTTTTTTGCTTCGTTTTCAATACTTTGTAGTGACTTTTTTACACAGTATATCATCAAAAATTGTAAATTTATAAATTTTAATTAATTTTAAAAAATAATATATATTAGTCTCAATTCTAAAAAATTTAAAATCCCAACTTCAAAATATTACTATTTAATGAATATTATCAAACATCAATCATTAGATTTAGTATTTTATTTATGTAAATTATGTATATTAATTTTTAAATTAAGTGAATACATATAATTAGTTCATTGACTATAAAAAAATTATCACGGTTAAATATTTATTGGAAGATATAAGTGTTTCAATTGAGAGCTTATAAATATCGAATTAACTTAAAAGTTGACATACATTATTTATATTAATAGAATATTAAATTTAATAATTAATTTTTAAAAATATCTATTAGAGAATGGTGTTTCTAAAGTTTGAGACTCCAATTTTAAAAAAGCCCGATTGATACACATTTTTTTGTTAATTTTAATTAACATATTTCTCTTGATCTTGCATTGCAATTCTGTTTTAATGGAATGGAGGCAGCTCACTGTTTAAAAGATAAAAAATTCTACAACTGCAACTGCAACGCGATAAATCCAGCACAAGCAAATGAAGCGAATCTCACTTGATTGACGTTATGCTAAGAAATTCCAAGGGGGTTTATGATGAGCGTTGTCCATTTCCTGTGAGGTTTGTTAAATCTTGGAGTGACAAACTTAGGCCTGGTTTCGGCCCAAGAATTTAAAGGTTCAATATCTGCATCTTCATCGTGGACTGGAAATTCCAGCCTCACAGGCCTTCTTTAAACATTTCAAGGCCAAAACTTTCATTTTCTCTACAAGTAGGTCACAAAACTATTACTACTCCTTCTAGTTTGCTTTAGTTATCCTAGTTTAACTTTTATATAAAATTAACTAGATTATTTTATATAAAAAATATATAGCAATTGAAATTTTTTTTAATATGTTATTCTTGTTGATTTGAAAAATGAAGATTTTGATCTGAAGGATTTTAAGATTCTTCAAAGACAAGAAGGATTTCAGAATATATGGGATATTTTGAGGAAGAGAGAAGTGATATGGAAACAGAAATCAAGAAGTAATTGGGTACGTGAGGGTGATGCAAACACGCGATTCTTTCATAGAATAACAAAAGGTAGAAAGGCCCAAAATTATATAACAGGTTTATGGTGTGATGGTGTTTGGGTGGAAGAGCCAACACAAGTTAAGAAGGAGGTGGTTAATTATTTTAGCAAGCTTTTCCAAGGAGATAAGTGGAATAGACCAAAGCCATATGGGGTTAACTTCAAG